ATCCCAAAGGTTTCAGGAAGAGAATCCTCAGCAGGTTTGGGGGTGTGAGTGACCAACTGGGAGGGGCACAACCCCCTGCGAAGGTGACTTGCAGAGCAGGGAGGTCAGGCAGGCTGAGCGAGGATTTGGGGTGGGAGTGACTCCTTTCAGTCACTGCACTGGCTCAGAACCACAGCAGGAGCTCCCAGTTACAGTGTCCTTTACAAAAGGGACCGAGGCAAAGAGGTGAGAAATCGATTTCATGGTGCAGTTGTTTCTTTTCAAGTCAAACCTGTTATCTTTGTGCAGGAGGAGAGGAGACAAGTGAAGCAGATGATGCAATTCAGTCCAAGAGTGATGATTCCAAGGTGGATTCTTCTCCAGGTGCTGATGCACATCTGCAAGAGCCTCCAAAATGTGACACAGGCTGCGTGGAGACCTTGCTTGGTCTTCAGAACATCCTGTTGCCTTCAGAAGACTTGTTTACATTTCTTAAGGTATTTTTGGAGTTAATACTTGGGATGATGCCAGATGATTGAGTGTAACCAGCACTAGGAACAGTGACCTCTTGGAAGCAAATCTCTGCCAAGGTTTCTTGTAGAAATCAGGGGGTTCTGTGGTTATTAAGCAAAATCTGAACTGGGGCAATCTCCTGCCAACAGAAAACAGTCCCTCACCTCATAAACACAAAGCCAGGAGTGAGAGATTTTCTGTAATAATTTTTTTTTTTTTTTAAATTTTAACATATTAGTAAATCTTTCACTGTTATTGTTTTGCAGCACAAAATCTCAACCCCGGAGGAATGGAATAAATTAATGCAGCTTCTCACGGAATTCCAGATGAAGCAAGTGGATTTTATACACAGTAATCTTGAACTTCTCCTTCCCTTACCAGTGCAAGTTCTTTCAGACCACTCTGAAGCCTCTAAGTCTGCAGTTGAAAGGGCTACCACAGTTTCTTCAAAAAACAGGTCTAGCAACAGTAGTTGCTCTGGGAAGAGTAGCCCTGGAAAAAGGTTGAAGAAGACAAAGGCTCAGAAAAGGCTTGATGTGTTGGATGACAGTGACCTGTTTGATACTGAACTCAACTATTCATCTGAATTCATAACGTTGCCATTGGATAGTCCTGCATCATGTGCTGAAATGAATAAAAAGGAATCAAACTTGTTGGTGAATAGAGAAGAAAAAGGAGTTCAAACCAAAACGTCAGCCAGTGACAGAAGGTCTGCTCTTGTTTTCCAGTGTCTGAATTCACTGAGTGAGTTTGTGGAAAACATGTCTTTCCTGGATTGCTGTGCGAGCACCAACACCAAGGAACCACTGGAGTTTTCCAGAGATGAAGAATTTCACTGGACAAATGCCAGAATCAGAAATGGTCTGTGTGATGAATTCAGTATAGAAAATACTGATTGGTGGAGTTCCCAGAGCTCTAGTGAAGTCAAGGCAGCTATTGAAGCACTCAGTTTTCACAAGTGTTCTCTTAATATTTCACAAAACTTGGAATCCTTCTGGAGTACCAGGAAAACACCTCCAAGTGATCAGCTGGAGGGACTTACTTTGCATATCTCAAACACAAGGAATGAGGTGTCCTTCAGTCAGTCAGCTGATTCAAGGTAAGGCTTTGCTGATATTCCTGCAATCTAATGCAGTTCTGTGGCAAGAAAATCAGGGCTGTAAGCTCTTGGACGAGGACCACCAAAGCTTTGCTCTGTGTTTCAGCAGTCACCAGAAGGCACACAGGAGGCTGGCTGTCATCAGGACTGTGTTTTCCAGAAGCCCCTTAAACCTGGGGAACAAGCAGGCCAGCGTCCTGGAGTACCTGCCCGCTCTGCGCACCATCTGCAGGGCTGAGAGGCTGAAAGAGCAGGGCAGGACTAAAAGAAGGTAAGTTCTGGTCTTCCCAAACCTTGCCTCATTCAGAAATAAACTTTGTCCCCTTACAATCACTTTTGCTTTTCTTTTTTTTCTTTTTTTTTTTTTTTTTCTTTAGGTTCTTGCATTATCTGGAAGGGATTCATCTCGAAATACCCAGACAAATGATAAATGGTCTGTCTTTGGACTTCCCTTAGAATTCCTACTGCCAGAAATACTTGGTGCCTAATGGTGGTATTCTCACCATAGTTTGATTTTTTTATTTTTTTTTTAAATCTTTTCTACCACATTATTGTATATTCAGAGCCATTTGTATATTAAATTTTTATAAGTATTTAAAAATAATGTATATATCTATTGTCATGATATTTGCTCTCCACGGCTGAAATGTGGGTTTATTCGGTGCTGGTCCAAAAAGTACATTTATCACATTAAATGCATTGACCATTCCATGGGGACTCCTTCAGTCTGGGTGTCAGCAAGAAGTCCTTTTGTAGCAACCACCTGTCACAACTTCCACAGCAGAGGAGCCCATTTGGGTCAAAGTTTGGTGCTGAGTGTGAGTGAAGTGATCTCTGACTGGGGGTGGGAGGGGGCAGGAGAGGATGCCAAAGGGTTCTAAACCCAACTCCTCACAACAACCGCAGGGAACAAAGGCCTTGCAGAGCACTCAGTGCCTCTATGGGCATGTATTTGTTTACATTCCTTTCGTCATTTACAGCTGTAAGATCTGCATGTTAATCTGAAAGGGTAGAGAAGTTATTACTGTAGTTCCGCATGGTCTCAGAGATTTAGGCAAGATTTTGTAAATAACAATTAATCCCAGTGTTACTGTGGGTTCAGGAATATTTAACTGCTTTTAGGCTTACATATTGTGTTCTATTTTTATGCTTCTTTTTGTATTTGACAACACTTCAGCCTGATTGTTTGGATTGGTTCTGGTTTTGTACGACAATAAATTTGTGAGACTTTGCTACAGCTTTGGATGTTTCTGTTGGATGAAAAGTAAAATTCCTAAAATGTTTTCAGTCCATAGAGATGATTTTTAGAGGGTTTAAAAACGGGACTTAGTTCAGCCATGTACTTTTCTGCCTTTATCTGGCAGTTGGACTGTTCCTGTTCCTCAAACTGAGTCAGATCCTGCCATGCAGTGCTGCTCCACTTACCTCAGTGTCTGTAATAATAAGGAAGGCCATTTCCTAGTACATTCTCTTCTCATCTTACCTTTTTTCATGCCTTAAAGGTGTTCAGGACTAAGAAATATTTATGAAAACGGTAAATTATTTTAAGCTTCCACACTGTTGATAATCTTTGGAGTTTACTCTTTCCACAGTTCAGAATTAGCCCAAAATTAAAGTGGGTGCTGTTAAAATCTTAATGGGTTGATGATTTGTTGCATCGATGGTCTGTGCTCCTCCTGTACAGTTTTGTAAAAATAAATAAATACACTTTTTTTTTTTCAATAATAAAGCAAATCTGTTCACTGCTTTATAAAGGCACTCTAACTAGATTACACTGGGGACATAAGTAAATTGGAAACAGGTCCTATAAAGAATTATTATTTTAGGAAATTCATGGGTAATTTGAAAGACCCAAATTAGAAAGCAGTGGGAAACAATTTACCTCCTTTTGAAAAGTCAGCTCTCTGGTTCTAATAACTGCCTTGGGAAGGTGTTTGCAGAATCTCCTGTGGTGTCCAAAAGGTGAGGTGGAATTCAAGCATTTCACTTCTTGATCAGATCCTCACCACATCAAATCACCTCGAGCTGCTCTGAGAGAAGATGATCTGCATGGAATGATTGATTGGAGTTCTGAGAAATTACCAGCTTTGGATTTTGATGCATCAGGCCTGAGCATCTTTTGTCTGCTGGAGTAAAGTGAGTTTCCAGGAGGGATGGGCTGGAGGGAAAGGGCCCTGGGGCTGGTTTTGATTAACTCTGCTTGGAAGCTCCATCCTAGTAATGTGCAATTCGCCTGCCTTTGATTCAGAAGAGTTTCCTGCACCAGTTTGGGCCCTGCTTAATCCTTTATCTGCTGCCCCTCGAGCTCCCTTGTGTGTCTTGGGTGGAATTTGGTGAAACCAGAAGTAAAAGGACCCTGGAGTTTCACAATGACTGCCCCTCTCAGCAGCAGTTATTAGGAGGTGTTCAGCAATTGAAAAAGCCAGAAAACCAACAACCCCTGTTGCTCTTGTTGAAATCTCAGTCGAGTTCCAAGCTTTTCTTTCCCTTTACTGTCATTCCAATCTTGCTTTCCAGAATGTAAATGAGGGTGACAAGATTTACCACCCTATGAGTAATAAAAAAAGCAGACTACCTCAGTCTTTGTAAAAGATAATATAAATAACCACTTTGCAAATCACACAGATTCTTTCTTTTATTCCACAGGAGTTGTAAGGACACCACAATAATTGGTGCATGGCTTGCAAGAACCTGGGGAAAACAAAATCCATGTTTATATTCCAGTACACACCAGTTCCTAAAGGGTAAGTGTTGAAAAGAGATTCTCTGCTGGTGGTTTAACAACTCCACTTCTCAGATATTCCGTTGCTGTTTGTTTTTCAACTTCACAATAGTTACAAACTGATGAAAGGTGCTATGCTACTTAGCACCTAAAAGATGGAGAAAAGTGTCACAACTTTCAACCGGTAACACCTGTAGTATTTAGTGTATAATGTGTCAGCACTGTAAACTGCTAACACATGCAGTATTTAGTCATCTACAAAATGACATTGTTTTTACAAGATTGTACATAAACTTCACTGAAGAGGCATCAGTGTACTCTAGCAATGCAAATTAGCAATGCAAATTAAGTTTAGCCTGAAACCAGTAAAATGGAAAAATATTTGAACACCTCTTCATCTATGTCTGAATTAATTACCCTTGAAAAATCTTTCCCTCAGGTTTTTCTCCTGGTTAAAGTGAGTACGAAGTCACAGCCTTTTTGGCATTGGCTTTAACGTGGAAGAGGAACAGTCTCAGTAGGCAATGGGACTTTGGGTAGCCCTGGGGTGCTCCGTTGTGCCGGTGTTGAGCTGTGCGAGAACTCCCGAGCCGTTCGGGGACAGGGTCAGGGTCAGGGCCGGGGCCGGTCCGGGCGCGGGCGGGTCCGGAGGTGTCGCGGCCCGGGTCCCCCTGCAGGGGGCGGCCCCGCCGGGCCGGGGCTGCGGGGCAGGACGGGCCGGGGCCGCGCCGGTTCCTCTTTTCCCTCAGCGCTCCGCGCCGGCCCCGGGCGGAGATGGAGCTCGACCGCAGCAAGGCGCTGCTGCGGGAGCTGCAGAGGGCGAGCGGCACCGGCAACGACCGCTGTGCTGACTGCGGCCGGCCAGGTACGGGACCCGGCTGAAGGCAGGGCAGGGCAGGCTGAGGGCACGGCGGGGCTGAGGGCAGGACAGGCTGAGGGCACAGTAGGGCTGAGGGCACTGCGGGGCTGAGGGCAGGGCAGGCTGAGGGCACAGTAGGGCTGAGGGCAGGGCAGGCTGAGGGCACAGTAGGGCTGAGGGCACAGTAGGGCTGAGGGCACTGCGGGGCTGAGGGCAGGGCAGGCTGAGGGGAGGGCAGGGCGGGCTGAGGGCCCGGCAGGGCTGAGGGTCCTGCTGCCCTCAGCCTGGCCCCGTCTGGCCCGCAGCTCCGTGTCCTGCGGGGAGGGAGCCGAAGGGTCGTGCGGGGCTGTTCCTGTGGCCATTGCCCTGGGACATGGAGCGAGGGGAGGGCAGCGGGGTCGGGGAGCGGCCTCAGCACTGGCTGCCCCCCCCGGGTCACCTGTGGACGGGCACGGGAGGAGGAGGAGGAGGGTGCGTGGGGTGGGTTTCCAGCCCAGGGGGTGTCACTGCTCGGGGTTGGGGCAGAGAAAGGCAGCGAGGAGCCCCTGCACAGCCCAGATGGGCAGGTCACTGGGAGCCAGCTGCAGCTGGAAGAAGGCGACAAGGAGCTTCTGTGCAGTGTGATAAGGGAGAAGTGGAGGGTGGTGCAGACCAAGGAAATGGTCTCTCCAAAGCATCGATGCACCTGTCGAGGCCATTCAGGGGATGCAGCAGCAACAGGTGAGAGCAGGAGCCCTCGTGGGCACTGGACACGACTCCTCGCTGCAGGTGGTTGTACTGGGTTGTACTCTCAGTCGTACTCACTGCCCACAACATCCTTCCATCGTTACTTCAGCAACAGCAGCTTCTCATGCAGGGCTAATAATTCACTGAGCTTTTCCATCACCACTCACCTGCCTGCAGAGTCACATTGGTTTTTAAAGCAAACAGTCAGTAAAAGAACCTACGAATACACATTGTCCACTGTGGAAAGAAGGTGCTGTTCCCCTGAACACACTGAAGTGAGAGCCACAAACAGTGGGGTGGGATTTGATGTGTTTATTACACGTGAAGCCTGGGCTGTGCATCAGATGTGCTTTTGCCACATATTAGTTAATTCTTTCTGTTTGTATCTAGGTCCAGAGTGGGCTTCTTACAAACTTGGAATACTCGTTTGTATGAGTTGCTCTGGAATCCATCGCAATCTTCCTGGCATCACCAGAGTCAAATCCCTTGTGCTGGACTTCTGGGAGAATGATCTTATAGAGGTACGGAGGAAAAAGCAGTCATTCACTTAATCCACATTTCATCATAATCTCCTCTACCTCCTAATGCCTGTGCCACCCACCATGGACAAGGGAACAGAGCCACACAGAACCAAGTTAACTCCGTGGGTAACTTTAGGGGTTTTTTTATGACCTTCTCAATCAATTGCAGTGATAGGTGACTGTGTTTCTAACAGTCTGGTGTGCATTTTTATATACACAGTAACCTCTCACAATATACACAGGTATTTCCAGGTAGTGTTTTCTATTCAGAAAGCAACATACCCTTCTTAAATATTGGTTCAGCCTCTCATCATTCAGTTGAATTATGTTAATAATATAATCACAATTAATGTCTGGGAGGAGATGAAGGAATAGGGAGATCAGAAGTAACTTTTCTCCTGATTTTGTTTTGTTCTTTTAATTGACAACCACAGTCTTGTATTCCTTCCCATTTGATCCAGAACTGTAAATACTGGAAGAGGCTCAGCCATCTACAATTTGCAAACTCCAGCGCTAAAGGGAATTTATAAATGTATGTAGAGACACACTGAGAGTTATTCAGGAAAAAGCACAGTGCTGTCTTTGATACAGGTTCCTGTTATGGTATTGATTTGTAGCTGCACACCTGACTGTAACTTGTTTTGTATTTCAGTTCATGAAGAATCACGGGAACCTCTGTGCCAAAGCTAAATATGAGGCCAAAGTCCCTCCCTACTATTACATCCCCCACTCCGATGACTGCTCGTAAGCTGATGGTTCTTCACTGCTCAGACCTTCACAGCTGCTGAGCTGATGCTCCCCCCTGCAGGTCTCTCTGTCTGGCTGGTAAAAATAGAGGCAGATCAGCTTTACCCATGTTTTCCTCTTTCAGGGTTTTAAGAGAGCAATGGATTAGAGCTAAATATGAGCGCGAGGAATTTGTTGCCACCCGAGTCTGCCAAGACCCTTGTTCTGCAGGTAAAAGGATTGGCAGGGAGAAGGTGTCAGCCCTCCAGCACAGTGTTCTGTTCACAGCTCTGAGTGTCTCCAAGGTGGGCTTGGCACATCTGAACTGCTGGATGTGCAGTCATTGCTCTGGGTCTAACTTTGAGAGGAGGCTCCTAAGAAAAGGCACTTAGACAAGTGCAAGGTATATTCAGATCTTACAGTTCTTTAGTTCTCCACTGATCTTTTCATACGAGGTTAAAATTCTCAGATGGAGAAGAGATTTGAAACTGTGCTGTGTCACCCTTAGCTAAACAGTCCTGTTCTTGTGCCACCCTTCTCTGACACTTCTCTTGCTCTGCTCTGCAGAGAACCGTGAAGGATTCCTCTGGAAGCTTGGGCAGGGACGCAGACAGTTCCACAAGAGGAAATTTTCCCTGTCACCAAGGGAAGGGGTGATGAAGTACTACGGCAAAGAAGTGAGTTCCTGAGCCAGAGTGGCAGGTCAACATCCATCCTCAGACCCTGCTCTTTGCAGGCAAAAACCAGCATAAATAACTTTGTCTCTAGTCTTGCAGCCAGGACAGCCTGTGCTTGCAGGAGTCCAAGTGTTTCCCCATTAACATATGTGGTATCTTTTGGATTTAGCCCCTTTCCTCATCCCTTATCTCAACCCCACAGCCTCCTTTTGCTTGGTGAACAAAGGAAATGGATACTGGCAGTTGAACAGCAAGACAAAGATGTCTGCTGGCAGCTGTTACCTCTCACAGGACCAAAATACTCTGTCACCAACTCCTGCAGCATCAGCCTCAACATGTGTCCTCCTGTAGGAGATCAGAGCAATCTGTTCTCCAGGACAAGGACAGAGACAGACCCACCCCTTACAATGCACACACATCCCTCAAAGAGTGACCCAGCATTTGTCAGGGAGGGGGAATCACTCTTTGTAAGCCATTTTATGTTGCACGTAATTAAGGCTTTATGTTTCAGATGTGTCCAATATTCAGGTATTTCAGGATGTCTGCTCTGCCTTCACCAGGGATCTGCTCCTCAGTCGATCTGTCCTGCATTGCCTTCCCTGAGAGCACTTTAATACGATGATGCTTTCCATTCTGCAGTGCACAGGTCCCAAGGCCGTTATCAGCATGGAGACCCTGAATGCCATGTTCCAGGAAATTAAAATAGGACATTCCCACGGGCTGCAGATCACCTACAGCACAGATGGGCAAACGAGGAACCTGTTTGTCTACCACGAAAATGGAAAGGTGAATATCCTGGAGATGCTGGAATAAGCAAGCTGCTTAGGTGTGGGATCTGTGATTTGGAAGAGATGCCCTGTTTCTGCAGGATCTGGTTTTATTTGGAGTCACTCAGACTTGTAGGAGATAGAAAATGTCAGAATTTGACAATAATAACTGTAGCACTTTGCTCCTCTTCTCTTGGGGCGTATATTCACCTTCACCCCCTGGGTGGTCTTAAGGCTTCAGTGGTGCACTGATGTAAATCTCTGGCAGGTAACTACCCCCTGGTTTTGAACAGTTCTGTGGTTATGTTCTGTTTCCCCCAGGAGATCGTGGACTGGTTCAACGCCATCCGGGCAGCGCGGTACCATTACCTCAGAACAGCCTTCCCCAAGGTCCCTGAGCACGAGGTGAGAACCCAGCAGGGCTCCGAGCAGGCTGGGCAAACACAGCCTGGCAAAACACGCTCTCACTTCTTCTGCCAGAGGCAGGTGCTCAAAGAGCAGCACTTGGGTCTTGGGAACGGACTGGAGAGGGAGAAGGAAGGGCCACGATGGATAACATGCCAAAGCTCAGCCAGCATTTAAGGGCTAAAAGTCTCCACGTGATCCTTATGAAGTGCAGTCTTTCAAAAGTGTTATGTTCCTTCTTACTTCAGACTTCCCTTTACTGAGCAGCCAAAAAAAACCCCGACCCCAAAACCCACGATTGATGGTGAATAACTTTGACAGAAACGGAGCAGAAATCAAGCTAGAATGAGACACACTGTGCTGGTTTTGGCTGGGACAGACACAGACTTTTTTGTGTTTGTGTTCTCCTAGCTCATACCCAGGATCACAAGAAATTTTGTCAAAGAAGGATATATGGAGAAAACAGGACCAAAAGTAAGTGCACAGGTGGCAGCACACAAACAGGATCATTGCAGGTACAGAATATTTGGTAATTCTGTGATGTTGCCTAGGACAGGACTTGCTCAGTGACTGTCTGCTTCCATTGACAAAGCCTGTCATGTTCTTTGGGATAACATTTTATTTTGTGGGGAAAATGAGACGGGGGAGAAGAATCCTTGAAGAGTAAGCAAGATGGATTAGCTGGCAGTGGGACATGCAAAGTGCTGTTACACAACACTCCATGGATTGCTGTGTCTGCCAAGTGCAGCTCCTGCTAGAACAGAACATCACATGCTGACCCCCTTACTTCTCTGTTTCACTTACAGTCACGTCTGCCTAGAGCAGCAAAGTGCCACTGAGAACATTTCTCCACACTGAGGCCAATGGTTTGGTTTGGGTTATTGTGGGAAAGTATTTGGGTCAGAACTCCTTGGAAGAGGAGAGTGAGGTTTGGGGCACTGCTGAAGAAGGAGATGAAGGTCTGAGGTCCTGTTTCTGGCCTTGCTCTCCTGAGTGAGCTGTGATCCAGAGTGCTGTTCTAAGGCTCAGGGGTGCAGTGCTGATGCTGAATGTGCTGGGGGTTGGCCCAGCTCGTGCCTGTGTCCCAGCACCTCTTCTGCAGGTGCTTGCACACAGCATGAGAGGTTGTGTGTTCTCCTGAGGCCTCAGTTCTGCTCAAACTGAAGTGAGCCCTAGAAGGGGCCTCTTCAGTTCAGCCCAGAGCAGTGAATAGCTCAGGAATGGTCAAATAAGTGTAGTGACTGGAATTAGTGTAGTGACTGGAATCAGTGCTTTCAGAGAGACCCCAGTCTTGTGCACCCCAAAATTCCAGGGGCAACCCCTTGAGCAAACTGTTGAAGTTGATTGCACACTCCTCTCACTCAAACTCCAGGGATTGTTCTCTGCAGAGTTTCCAATGCATTTTCTGCAACTTAATCCTGTTCATTTGATCACTGGTAGAACCAAACTGACCTGCCCAAGAGATTGTCACTGAATGCAGATCAGTAGTTTGAGCCCAGGGAGAAGAGGGCTGAGGGCACAGCAGCGACTCACCTGAACCAGTCATGGGGCTGAAGGAAACTGAGCTCAAGCTCCAAGTCGCTTAAGCAGTCCAGGGATCTGAACAGACCAAACTCCTCCCAGGGACTTGGTCTTCAAAGAACTTCTACCATCTCCTTGCAGCACAAGGAGGCCTTTAAGGGACGCTGGTTCAGCCTGGATTCTCAAGAAAGGAACCTGATGTACTTTAAAAACCCGCTGGTAAGAGGAGTGTTCTTCACTGTTCCACATCCCCTTCGGGAAGTGGGTGGGGAGGAAGGGTCTGTTCTCATCCAGTTCTTCCAGAGCCTGTGCAAGACTGGAGCAGGCTCAGCCTCAAGAGCCTGTCATCCCCTTGTCAGGGGATGCCTCTGAGCTGTTTGGAGCTCTGGCCCATCCAGTGGCTGTGAGGAAGATCCAAGTCCTTTAAAAGCAGCTGTTACTGCCTGTAGCATTAATGCCCACTCTCTCCCAGCCCTAGTGTCTGTAACCTTAGGCAAGATGAGCGATATTCCAATAACAGCCCCAATATTCTGCCTTCTAGCACTGCTCTGGCCATGGGAATATCCTCCCTGCTCCTTCTGAATGCCCACCAACCAACTCTGTAAGGGTGGGTCCCTACCTACAACCTCTGGTGTGTTTCCTGCTGGTGTCACCAAATCAGTGTCCCCTCCAGGCATCCCCAGAGCCCATTCCATGTCAAACACAGAGCAGAGTCTGCTGGAGCTGTGCTACCTACTGGTTAATGGCTGTCTTCTGCTTCCCTCTTTCCAGGATGAGTTTGCACGGGGCCAGATTTTTCTTGGAAGGAGGGATGAGGGATATGAAGTACGACCTGAGCTGCCCAAGGGAATCCGCATGAAGAAGAGGAAACCAGGGATCATTCTGGTCACTCCAGGGAGGGAGTTTGTGTTTTTGTGCGATAACGACGAGAGGCAGAAGGAGTGGATTGAGGCCTTGGACACAGTCATCTCCCAGCACTGATGTCCTCAGGGAGGAGCAGACTCAGGCAGCTATATCCCATCTGCAGCTCCTGTCCACACAGGGACAGGGTTGTTTTCAGCAGAGTGGGTTCGATGTCTTTTACACTGGCACAATAAAAATACACAAGTCAAGTTTGAATTGTGGAGGATGCTGTGATGGAACCACTCTAATGGAGTCACACAGGTACTCCCAGCTCCTTGCTTTCAGCATTTCCTGCTGTTTGGCTTTTTTATGAGTGGCAAATCCAACTCGTGAAGACGAAATTTTTCCAAAGCACAACAACCCCACACGGTGCCCCAGCAAACACCTCGTGAGCACAGGATGAACATGTGCTGATCTGCCTCACCTAAAACCAGATGAAGCTTAATGAGCTTGATTAGTCTGAGCATTGAAAGGTAGAAACTAGTTTTAAAAGTGTTGTCTTCAGTGACTTGCTTGAGTACACTCACTGAATGGGGACCAGTTCTCAGTGCTGGGGGTAGGTGCCTCCTCATCAAGTACCCCTTGTGTCCACTCTGGGCAGGACTGATGGACACTTGCCCTGACTGATAGAGTGCTCTGAGTGTTTCCTCAAGTCTCAGGTCTGGTTCTACCAAGCAGCATTCAGATATTTAATTCTTTCCAGATTGCCTTAGTTTGCAAATCAAGAGGAAGTCTTGCAGACCAAGTTTCTGGTGAGGCTTCCACCTCTTACCGACTGTTGCCAGCCCGTCTGAGACACTCGGAATAGTTCTCCTCTTCTGCAGAAATGAGGAAGTGCCAATTCTTGCAGGAATGAGTGAGATTAATTCTTCTCTCCCCCCCCCCCCAATAGTGCAAAAGAATTGAGTTGGATCATCACTCTGCCTGTCTCAGCCAGCTCATCAGCCAGCTCTGAGCAATCTGCAGCAGTTTTGCCTGCTGATACGCTCCCGTGAACCTCCCTGTGCTCCCGCTCTCCCCACGCAGCCTGATTCAGTCTGGTTCCCATGCTGGTTCAGCACATCTGTCAAACAGCCGAAATCAATAGAAAGCACCCTCTGACTTGCACAAGGAACAATGGCTGTCTTCGTTTGGTCTGACGTGTTAATTGTTATTTTGAGATGACCTGAGTAGCCCAGGATGACCTCAGAAGGGTTCAGTGCATCCAGAGGCCTGAACTTGCCACGGGTGGGGGGCTCTGCCGGGCTGGGCTGGGCTGGGCTGGGCTGGGCTGTGCCCCTCGCTGTCCCGGCCGGGTCAGCAGACTGCCCATGTCAGCGACTCACTGCCACAAAATCGGGAAACTCACGGGGAAAATTAAACCCTGCCGATAACGGGACTTTTTTGGAGAGTCAGTACGAGTCAAGGGCAAGCTCAGGACAGCTCTGCATCACATTCCCATTCCCACAGTCAACCCGAATTCTGGGAACGAGTCTCAGCAGAGGAAGCGCTGACCGGCACCGGGCGGAGCGCCGGGAGCTCTGAGGGAGCTGACACCGGAGGAGAGGAGGAGACAGGGCAGGCACAGCCCAGCCCAGCCCAGCCCGCCCCGCCCCGGCGCTCCCGTTTCCCGGAGGAGGCTCCCGGGGAAACCGAAAGTGTGGGGTCGCTCCTGCCCGCCAGGCCATGGCCGCTGCCATCGAGCTGGAGCGGCTGCTGGCCGCCCTGGAGCTCAGGTGCTCCTTGTGCCTGCAGTTCTTCTGGGAGCCGGTGCGGATCGCGGGCTGCGGCCACAGCTTCTGCCGGCGCTGCATCAGCCGCTACGGCGCGGGCCGGCCCGGGCCCCCCTGCCCGCTCTGCAGGGAGCGCTTCGAGCTCCAACACCTGCGGCCCAACCGCGAGCTGGCCGCGCTGCTCCGCCTCATCCCGCCCCAGCTCCGGGACGCGCTGGAAACACAGGATGAACCCTCTGGAGCGGCTGACTGCGGCGACCGGAGACGGGAGAAGGTACTGCTCGAGCAGCGCGGGGCTCCATCCGTCTGTGTCCCGGGACAGCCCGGGGCTCCATCCCTTAACAACCCGGAATAGCCCGAGGCTCCATCCCGCTCCATCCCGGCACAGTAACACAACAATCGCCGTAGGTTGAGCAGACGGGTTTAACTGAAGCAGTGTTTGGGGTTCTTTGGTGTGTCTGACACGCTGAGGGCTGCACGGCTGAATTAGAAGAACTGGTATCTGAACGTATTCAGCTGATGTACGATGGTAATAAGTGACTGTTCTCGTTTCTGGGCGTTACTGACTGCATTAGCAGTGCACTGGAGACGCCTGAAAGGACACTCAACATTGTTACACGGTCCTACAGCTCCACCCAGCTTCGTGGCACAGAATAGGACCTGTTCAGTATCTGCATCTCTGCTTAAAATAACTCCCAGACTTGGACGCGATGGGGAAGAATATTTTAGCACATATGTATCTAAAAAAACCCCTCTTCTTCAGTCAAGCAAAGAGCTGAAGCTCACAGTTGTATTTGAACATGCAATCGGTAACTGTTGCATGTTGACACCAGTGCTTGTAGGGATGTTTATATCTTGCTGTTTAACCTAGTCAGGCTTTCTTTGAGGGCTATGTAGATAAATGGTCCAATGTATCACTTTAAAGGAGGAAGAGATATGGGAAAGCTCCAAGCAACCAGAAATGTCTGCAGAGACCATCCCCCTGCTGAGGAGAGATCTCGATAAAACCAAGGTACCTGTTGTACATCCACCACCTGCAGTTACCTTCTGCTTCCACTGCTCTGGGCTGGAGATGTGACTGACTCCAGGGCAGCCCTCCAGCCCAGAGCAGGAATCTGCCTTTCTGTTTCCCTCTTTTCTGTCACAGTTCTGTTTCTGTTGATGAGAATGAACCGTGGCATCAGCTGCACTAACTCCTGCCTTGGCTGGCACAAAGGCCTCTGGAGCTCTGCATTGTTGCCTTTTTGTGCTTATCCCAGGAGCAGCCTGAGTGTGTCTGGTACTCTCAGATGCAAATACAAATCATAGAGGGAATATTGATCTTTCTGAGTTGTCAAGAAAAGTCTGCTGGCCATAAAATAGTTAAAATCCTTAACATGCCCAAAATCTCATTACAGGTAACGCAGGAATAGTATCATAGTCAAATGTATTTTCTTCCTTTGAATAAAGTTTTCTGGTCTGCAGGGGTCACTCAAAGAGCACATTAAATGGGGCAGGAGATTCTCAGATTTCATCTCTCCCAACCACACAATGAACTCGATGTGTTCTGCCTTTCAGGAATACACCTCTCAGATCAAAAGCCAGATTACTCGAGATTTCTGTTGCATGAAGGAATATGTTGAGAGACAAGAGAGAAACACACTGATGTTCATTGAACAAGAGCAAAAAGCTGCTCAGCAGAAGATTGAAGAGACCATTCACCAGCTCACAGACAGCAGAGCCCCAGCTGTAAGTGATGAAATGAGTGGCAGAATATGAGTAGAAGCTCTCAGGCTCAATGTCTTGGGTAGCTGAGTATGAACAGGGCACTTCGAGGTCCCCACTGCACTATTCTCACTGGAGACAGTGATGCCAATCCATGGATATTGCTGTTACAGGGAGAGTTTGGAGGGAGAAATTCAGAGGGAGAATAGCACTAGAAAAGGGCACAGGCTGGGGATGCAACTCCAAACCAGATTTGTTCCCAGGGCCTTGGTGAGCTGAAGTGAAGTGGCCACTACATTGCTTGAGTCCAGTACTCAGTCAAATCTGAAGATAAGGCTGTTTTGTTTTCCAGAATTCATATATACAGTGAGTGTGCAAGTTGAAGAACTCACAGAGTTTAAAGTATTTTGTAACAACTTTCTTGGGGAAAACACATCAAGGGCCCTCGAAAGAGGCAGTTAAAGCACTTGAGGTTCTGCAGAGCCTGCTTTGATGTTGAAAACAGCAGTGCCAAGGATGCAGGTCAGCAAGCAGGAACTTGGAGTGGGGCTCACTCTCAGTTTTCTGAGGGAAAACAGAGTCTTTATATTTTTTAATAAGAATAAACTATGCTTCCCTATTTTCTGTAAGATATCAGGTTAGTTCTCTCAGGTAACTATCCAATAAAGGAAACTCTTGATACAAAGGATAAGATTTTTGCAGAGAGCACTGCTGTTTTTCCACTCTGCCTTTATTGTATAATCGGGTCTGGTAGATGAAATAACTACTGTTGTTTACATCTTTCCCTTGATCCTTTTGTCATTATTAGAGTAACTTACCTTACAAAGGCTCACTTTCAATAATGAATAAAATTACACTTGACAAGAAGCTTCGTGTTGTCAAAAGTGCTGTAGAAGATCTCAAGAGAAAGTTGGAAGTGTTACTTTTGGAGAAATACCCTCAGCAATTCCCACCAGGTGAGTTTCCCTTATTTTGAAATGTCTTTCTTAGAGGGAGTGGATGTAGCAAATGAAGTAAAAAAATTACTCTGTGCTTGTGAAATGCACGTGCAAGTAACACAAGAAATATGTGATAGAAAAAGAATTAAGAACACTTTATAGACTTTTATGACAGAAAATGGTGCATCTGCATAGAAAGATCCAACTGCTTTACCCATCTCACTCTTCTGGCTGCTCCCTTCTGACACTCAGGGCAGCAGCATACAGTGTTTTGGTAATTTGGGGTACAAATGTTTGCCTCCACGTCCTTTGATAATTTATACAACCTAAAAAATCAACTCTTTGTTTTGTCCTTTACCCAGTAGGTGGGTTTATTTAAGGTGTGTTTTCCTTTAGAAGCAGAAACGCTTCCTGTGTACATTTTGAAGAAATACCTTAACACTTCTTTTATTTTTTGTATTTAGTGCAGCCTTCAGACTGGTATCAGGAGACAGGTGTGTGCTCATCACCTCCAGAGCCTGCAGCTGGAATTCCACACCCGGGCATTCCAAGCCAGTTTTCTCAGTGTAAGTGTCCAGCAGGACCCTTGCTGACAGCCCTCAGGTGACTGTGAGGCTGGAGCTTAAAACAGAAAACAAATGTTTTTGCTGATAAAATGCGCAGGAACATGTCGCAGTGAACAGATGAGTGTAAGTTTTATTAAGGTAAGCATCCCATTTGTTATTGATAACAAGGCAATTTCTTTAAAAGGCTTGTGGTTAGGATGAGGATCCACCCTGTAGGGTGCAAGGTACCTTCACCCTCCCACTGGAGTGCCCGAGTGTGTCGTGGACGTTTCCACAGCTGTGCCTGTTAAACGTTGCAGTGATCCCAGGATACGGCTGTGAGTGTTGGGCTGGGGATTCTTGCTGACCTGCAGGACTGAGCTTTGAGTCACGTTCATTGTGTGATCACTGGGGTTTCCTTTCTGTTCTTGTTGCCTGCAGGTGAGAATGTTTTCCCTTCTCCCTTGCAGGGGCAGAGGACGTGACCTTTGACTGCACGAGAGCTCACGAGTACTTGGCCCTCAGAGCCCAGAACAGGAGAGTGGTGGTTTCCAGTCACCCCACCTGCTATGAACCGTCTCTCAAGAGGTTCTGCATCAGCCAAGTGATGTGTTCCCAGAGCTTCTCCACTGGGTGCCACTACTGGGAGGTGATTACCGAGGGCAGCGATGGATGGGCCGTTGGAGTCGCTCAGGAAATGATCGGGAAGAGGGACAAACTGGGAAGAACGGAGCATTCCTGGTGTGTGGAATGGCTGGGTTCCAAAAAGCAGCTCTCAGCCTGGCACAAAAATCAAGAAACGTTGCTACACAAGGATAAACCGCTGAAGGTTGGGGTTTTCCTGGAGCTCCAAAAGCAGACGGTGTCGTTTTACTCTGTCACCGACACAGAAATGCTCTTGCACACCTTTGACCTCAGCACCTCCCACCCTCTCTATCCTGCCTTCTGGCTGTTCAACCTGGAAAAAAATGGATCTTTAACTCTAACTCACCCAAACAGCAGATGAAGCTCAGAAAAGGGACCATTTTGCCAATGACTTCTATCCAAGCTTCATTGTTTAGCACAGGAATTTACCAAGGAATGCATTTCCTGGGAATCAGTAACTGGCTTTTGCCTGCTCTGCCTCTCTCCATGGTGTGCTCTGGTCTAGCCATGCTTCAGTAAAGTAATTCCAGTGTCTGCTGAAGGCAGGAACCATCCCTGTGGGGATCAAGTGGATTTCTTAAGCAGCTTTAAGTAGTCCCAGGATATTCCTGGGAAGGAATGCACCGAGGGAGCTCTAAGGCTGGGGATAAGCCTTGCTCATGGACCTCATTTTTCCTACACTGATCTAAAAAATACAAGGCAGATGATGCCATTATCTGAGTGAGTAAGGAGTGCTCAGAGGGCAAGAATGTTACTGATCTCAGGCATGAAAATCCATTTCTTTAGATACTAAACTACAGGAAATAGGCTTTGTATTTGAGGACCTGACACTTTGGGTCCCAGAAGATCATCTCCCTGGCACTGTATTTTAGTCTTGCCCACACCAAAGGGTTTTTTTCAGTCCTGGTGGTGGGGTGACCACGGGAATGGTTGTGGAAGCAGATGCTCAGAGGTGTTTATGCCAGCTAATAAACCCATGGCTTTTAAAGTGACAGAACTGCTGGTCATCTTGAGGGTTACTCTGTGCTGTCACTGAACACTCTGAGAGTACTTTGGGCAAAATGCACATTGGGAAGGTTCCAAAGGCAGGTATATCAGCTCTTCCAAGGCTGGGGCAGCTCTCCCAGTGTAGCTAATGCTGCTGCCCCCTTAGGATTGAGATGTCCTCTCCTGGTCCACCTGGAAAAGCAGCAGTGATGTGTGAACTCATTGGGCATTTCTAATTTCCCATGTACAAGTTGTGCTGCACTGCCCGGGGGCAGCAATTTGTTACTGTTTGGATCCCAAGAACACACGTAATAACACACAGAACAACGCACAGGGACCCTCATCTCTCTGAGGGCACCGAGCCAAGGCAGTTCTGCGTTATCACACTTCTTTATCCCTGTAATCTGTGGTATGATGGCCCACGGCCTCTGAGGTTTGTCTGGTGGTTGTTTTTTGGTTTTGTTTTGAGTTTTTTTTAAAGGATATTCTTTTACCCTGTCTGAGGTGTCACAGCTCAGAGAACAACATGTCATCCGCAGGAAATCTCTTTAGAAAATTAAAAGCGAGCACAGCTATTTGCTGGGCTGTTTTACTGAACATACACTGCCAGCTGCACCAAGAGCATCTTCCCAGACACTTGGCACCTCGTGAACCTCTGAAGTTCACAAAGACAACAGGAAATCCGACTGCAGAGTGACAGGGAGAAGTGGTTGGAGTTTCTTCCCCCTCACAGCAGATTCCGGCACCAACACGCGGAATCTTCACCTCCCCGAGGGCACAGACCGGGGGGAACCAGCACAGGGACCGTGCACCTCCCTGAGGGCACAGAGCGAGCCGGGGAGCGCTGCCCCGGGAAGAACCATCACACGGATCCCCCACAGCCCCTCGGTGTGAGCGCAGCCCCGGGAGGAACCAGCACAGAGACCCCGCACAGCCCCTCGGTGTGAGCGCATTCCCGGCCGGACCATCCTCCCGCTCCCCGCGGTCCCTGAGGGGCGGCCGCCCCCGCCCCGCGCAGCCGCCGCGCAGCCGCCGGCGCGGCGTGTCCCTCGCGAGCCGCCGTAGCTCGGTGAGGGGAGCCCGGGCAGCCGAGGCCCAGCGGCGCCGCCGCCCCGCCCGAGCTGAGCGGCCCGGGCCGGGCCGGGCCCCGAGCGCGGACATGAAGAAGGACGTGCGGATCCTGCTGGTGGGAGAGCGTGAGTGCGGCGGGGCCCGGCCGGGCTGTCACGGCGGTGCCGCGGGGCTCAGCCCGGCCCGGGCGCTGCGGGGCAGGGCAG